CACACAAAGAATTGAAGTCCTTTATTAAACAGGTTTGTAACATTTCGTAGCAGCTCCTTGCAGCCTCATTGAGGGGATCCTGTCTCTCTGGGGAGGAGCTGGGAGGCAAGGAGAAGAGAGTGCCTGGGAGACTACTGGCTAAGCCGTCTGTCTCAAACAGAGCCGTTGCGGATGGACGCTTAGAGCTGTTGAAACGTCCCTGCAGCGTCTCCCAGCGTAGAGTTCCAGCTGGCCCAGCCCAGGCCTCCCTAAAAGGAACAAAACCCCAGTGTAGCCCACCAGCATGAAGGCGTTTAAATAGTTCTATGCAATTTAATACTCAGTTTGTAATACTGGAAGAGGCAATTTTTGGCCAGCCATCTTTTATAGCAAACTAAATCCTTTTTTTTTTAGAGATGCAAAAATCATCTTAAAGGAATAGGCCCCTTTAAAAACACACACACACACACACACACACACACACACACACAAGTTCTGTTTCTAAGCAAGAATCCTCAACAGCAAGAATTTTTATTTTCTTGAAAGCAGTTACACATATTTCAGAAAGTGAATTTTATCAGAATCAAAATTCAAATGAAGCAGTTTCTGAGCCTTGAACTTGATTGTTTCCTGAGTGTCCCACCACTTACATACAAGTGTCTTCGAAGCTATAACTGGACCTGACACTACTTTGGGCAAAAACCAGCTTTATGAATTGACCACATACAGTCCTGCGGGTCTGCCCGGTTCATTCTCTCAGCCAGCTGAGGAAAACTAGAGAAGAATACCATTCATCCTTGTCAAGGTCAAATGTGAAAGAGAAGTTTATTTAATGTAGAGATAAATGAAGGTCAGCTGTTTTCAGCTTCTTAGTTTGACCATGAAAATGTTTATAGAATTATGTGTAGTTGTACCGTACGATTTATTTTCTTCATTTATTTATTTACGGTCTTATTTATGTTCTGTTTAATATATAGTTCGGTTCTGGCCATTTTAAATGTTTGACATAGAAGAAGCTATATTGGAATATTTACAGCTTTATAAATCACCAGATCAGCTGTTAACTTTTTGCAATACAGAAAGTTTCATACGAGTATAAGAGAATAAAATCTGTCTCCGGCTGGTAGTTAGCATTTGTGACCAAGAAGCTTTCGGTTTTATTTTACAAAATTTGCTTATTTCTAACACAAGAGATAAACTTATTTTAATATAATCCTTTTCCACACTTTAAAAAATCAGCCATAGTGTTATGCATTTATAGGAAGCTTTTAACAATCCTGTCATATTTGTACTAACCCAAATGATTCACAGTGACACATTTTAATAACTTGATCACAAAACCATATGGACAATATGAATTTTAATATTATAAATGCTATTTTTTAAAGGTAGAACTTATTCTGCACAGGGTAAAAAGAATGTAATATTTAGTTCTCAAGTTTGAATTATCAACATGTTACTACAGTTTTGTATATCAGAATCTAAGTGTTACAGGTACAAAAGCATACTGCTAGCCAAATGAACAAAGTTTAGCTGAATCTCTGTCGCATGCAAATCAAAAAAATTTAAAATCTTTTTTTTTTTTGCTATTACTTTATATTGTATTAAATATCAAAAGCTCAGGACTGAACTAAATATTTAATCAGGTTAAATTCTGAATATGTTTCTGTTTTAATTTGTCTTGTTTGTAAAAGTGTGCAAATATATCACATAGATTAACTGGTTTCTGCACTTTTCATGTGTTTGTGGGTGGAAAATATTCAGTGGTTTTTGTTTTGTTTTTGTTTTTGTTTTTTCAACAAAGATACATATTCCCTAAGACTTCATTTGTGTCGTTTGTTGCTCAGGTAATTTCCCTGATTGGCTCAAACACAAGAATTGACTTGATCTGTGTACAGAACAAATATAAAATCTTTCATGAAGAATCCCCCAGGCCATCAGTTTGTTGTGAATACTTCTTGGTTGGACGATATGCATTGCAGATTTGAAAAAAAAAAAAAAGGCAGAATATTTTCATTGTGCAAGTAAAACAAGGGCTCCATATGAGCTCTGCCCACACACCCAGACCGGGCTGGCCTGCAGCGCCCCCTGCAGGGGGTGGGCGAGTGTTCACCATCTGCTGCAGAGCACAGGGTCCAGATGCAAAAGCAGGCTTGTGGGTGGGTTTCAGTGACCCTTCCAACACACAAGTCTGCCCTCCTCTGACCTGGCCTGGGGCGGAGGCATAAGTGAGTGGCCAGAACCCCTGAGGTCTCTGGTTAAAGACACGATGTGTCCACGTCTCTCACCTCTCCAGCTTTCAAAGAACAGCCATTTTTTTAAATTTAATCAGATGTCACACATTTTAAATAAATATGCCGTGAGCCTGTTTCTGTAGAGTAGGTCATCTCAAACACTGGAGAGAAGGGCTTGATGAACAGTAACATCTCCCACTGCCAGAATGACCCGTCTCTATGAGTAACACCTTCAGGGGCGTAAGCGCGGGTAGAATGTTTCATTTGCCAGTTCTGTGCAGTCACTGGGTCTATTTCAAAATTGAGGAAACTCCTCCGCAGAAACGAGCATGATTACTATTAAGTCTTGATTGGTTTTGGCCTCAGAGTAGAAGACAAAAGTGGTTTACCGCCTGGGAAAGAAATCACAGTTCAAGGAGCCAGTCACCCCTGGGGAAAATGCATGTTAGAAAGTTGCTAGCGTGGTGCCTGGGTGACCAGGCAGCAGGGAATCCTACCCGGTCCCGGGCTCAGCAAGCGTCCCCCGCGCAGTGGCCGCCCGGATCCTCGGGCTTAGACTGTCAGCCGAGTGTTTTTCATCTCCAGGGGGTGACGGAGATTCTGCGTGTCTGCCGCCGGGTGCTGGCCCGCCGCCAGCGGAGCCTGGGTGCAGCAGGCGGCCCAGGTCACCAGGCACCCCCCGAGGAGGAGAGAGAACCCAGCGAACCAGCCCAGGAAGAGGGCTTCCCCGAACTCCCACCTGGGCACCACCTCCGGGAGGGTCTCGTCCCAGAACTCCTGCACGGTCACATGGGCGACCCAGGAGACCGGCACCAGGACCCCGACGCCCGCCGTCCAGAACAGGACCCCTCCCAGGATCAGCAGCCGCTTCTTCCACTTGCGCTGTCTCTCTCCGACTCTCAGGCAGTCCAGCCCAGACCCCGAGACCAGCAGGCCCAGGAGCCCCAGCCCGTGGGACAGGAACATGAGGATCCTGGAGACGCGGAGCTCCACGGGCAGGGCCAGGAAGGAGTCGAAGTCCTTGCATTGCCTCCCCACCTCTTCCTGGACGACGCAGACTTGCCACAGGCCCTGGGTCCAGGTCTCCATTTCGTTCAGGTCCAGGTTCAGGTTCTTCCAGTGCGGCAGGTAGTTGGTGAGACAGGCTAAAACCCACCCCAGCAAAGATAACAACATTCCAGCTAATTGGGCCACAGTTCTAAATACAAAAGCCATTACTATGAAGTCCCGTGAGCTTTCGCCCAGCTCACTGCTGCCTCTGGGTTGCTGTGAAAAGTGTGACGGACTTCGGTTATCACCTGCAGAGCTCAGAAATCTTTTTTCATTGTGTGTATAAGAGGATTCTTGCCAGAGTGGCTATTGTTTGATTCCATGCTGAATGGGTTTCAGGAAAGGAAAGGGAACTAATTCTGCAAACCAGTCATGTCAAGGAGTGGCCAAGATCAATTTTCTAGTAAGCAGTTTGTCCCTGAAATAACACGAAGCAGTAAGAACCTCCTTTCATTGTTAACGTCTCAATGGCTTTCGTCCGATTCCCAACCTCCCTTGCAAGTCAAAGCACAGAGAAGTCTGAATGCAAAACATGTAATTGACAGTTCGGGTTCAGCTCCTGCCGCTTTCTCTCTGGCTAATCGCACCTGCCGGGCCTCCACCCGTGACGGCTCTCACATTTCAGGACATGTGTTGTGGTAACACCGAGTGTTATTAAAAAAAAAAAAAAAAAGTTCAAGAAAAGTATTTCTTAACCAAATAAATCCATCTCCTCAGAAATCTCTCTAGTTCGTAAATCAGGCCTACTTTTTAAAAATTCCTTAGGCTACATATACCGCATAACATCTGAAACGATACTAAACACGCTCTCAAGTCTGATTACCCACAGTCCCCTCTGTCAGAGCATGCCCAGGTGCACCAACACTCGCTTCTTCTTGGCTGCCATGTGCTCTCCACGCTGTGGCAGAGGGAGGCAACGGAACTTGTAGATTAGCACCAACATCTCTTGCTGCAGCACTAAAGTATAAAGCTTGTAATTTTGCTTGTCTGTTTTGTTGTGGTTAATCCTCACCTGGGGATATTTTTCCATTGATTTTCAGAGAGAGAGAGAAACATCCATGTGAGAGAGACACATCGATTGGTTGCCTCCCACATGCCCTCTCCCCCGACCACCCGACGGGGGCTGGGGATCGAGCCTGCAACCGAGGTACCTGCCCTTGGCCAGAATCGAACCCGTGACCCTTCAGTCTGCGGGCCGACACTCTATCTACTGAGCCAAACCGGCTAGGGCTAAAGCTTGTAATTTTTAATTGAACAAAGGAAAGTTTTTCTCAGGGCAAGTGAACTGTCACTATCTCAATATCAAGCAAAGGTTTTTCATTGTTTACCTTTTTAATATGAAGCTTCTGAGGGATGAGACGAGAGAGGAAATTGGCCAGTATTTAGGATCGGACAGCATCGTGATGTAAAAACCTTTCAGCCTCATAAACCCTGTCACTCACACCCGTTGCCTTGTCATTTCCTAAACACAAACCACCTCTGATCAGAGAACAAAGTCACTGTTGTAGAAATTACACTACGGAATGAGTTTAACCTGTGGCTTTGCCCATGTAGAGTCTCAGTTTGTTAGTTTTTCTCTTTAGGAAACAAAGTAATTATTATTTCCAGTTACCAACAAAAACGATTCTAATGTAAAATAAACACATTAAAACTTAATACGGACCATGTTGGACAACCACCACCAGTTTTATTTAAATAACCAGATCAATTACATTTTTTCTTGCTCAGACCTATGTAATGCTTAACATAGTAATTTTCTTGTAGATATGAGGCTGCCTCTTCTCCAGATTTTTGGGGGGAGGGGGAGATCTAGGATAAAAAAGTAATTATTTTATGAGAAAAAGTGAGCAGCACAGATTTAGTTACGTAACAAAGACCCCTTTTCCCGTGCGGACCTACAGCACCGTTGGTGCGGAAAAGAGGGCTCCCTGGTCTTGTCCAAGTCACACTTTCGGAGCCGCAGTCCCATTTTCCAGGCATGGACACTGTGCCTGCGTGTCTGCCGCTGCGTAGCGGCCCGCAGCCAGCGGAGCCTGGGTGCAGCAGGCGGCCCAGGTTACCAGGCAGCCCCCGAGGAGGAGAGAAAATCCAGCGAACCAGCCCAGGAAGAGGGCTTCCCCGAACTCCCACCTGGGCACCACCTCCGGGAGGGTCTCGTCCCAGAACTCCTGCACGGTCACATGGGCGACCCAGGAGACCGGCACCAGGACCCCGACGCCCGCCGTCCAGAACAGGACCCCTCCCAGGATCAGCAGCCGCTTCTTCCGCTCTCGCTGTCTCTCTCCGACTCTCAGGCAGTCCAGCCCAGACCCCGAGACCAGCAGGCCCAGGAGTCCCAGCCCATGGGACAGGAACATGAGGATCCTGGAGACGCGGAGCTCCACGGGCAGGGCCAGGAAGGAGTCGAAGTCCTTGCATTGCCTCCCCACCTCGTCCCGGACGACGCAGGCCTGCCACAGGCCCAGGGTCCAGTTCTCCATCTCGTTCAGCTCCAGGTTCAGGTTCTTCCAGTGCGGCAGGTAAGTTGTGATCATGGATAAAACCCACCCCAGCACGGACAGTACAAGTCCAAGGAATTGCATGACCACTCTCAAGACTAACGCCATCGCAGCCAAGCTCGCGCCTTCCGCCGCCCCTATAGGAGCCGCTGTCTGTGGGGACGGCGTGTGCCGGTTGGCCTCGGGGCGATGCTGTCTGGGATATAAGCTCGGGGCATTGCTGCCTGGTCATTCGCTCCTTGGCCACTCTGAAGTGCGTGTTTGTTCTTGAATATAGTGTTTCATGTAAAGGATGAGGGGCTCTGCGAGAACTGCGCGTTAGGCCTTCTGATAAGGAGCTGACCTGCCGGTAAAACTATACCCCCAATGCGCGACGGTACGAAGGCTGAGGATGAACAAAGGGGCCTCTGTGACCCTCACCCTAAAGGACAACAGAAATCTTTGTGCTTCAATATGGATTAATTAGATTTTAAGTGGTGATAAAAGGCCAGCTCTCTGGGTAACAGGACTTCATTGTGGCAGCTGAACCTGAGATTTCAGGATGCAGAACAAGCCCCTGCAAGGAAAGGCAGGCTCTCCCTATAATCTCCACTCTGCAAGGACCTCCTCAACCTACACAGCGCCTGGCCCCCGCTCTGGAGTGTCCCGGGAACTCAGGACTTGGCAGGAGCGGCGCCCTCAGATTCCTTTGAAAGGTGGACGCGGGTTCACTGGGTTAGTTAAAATGGCACGACGGAGGCGGGTGCCCAGAGGTGCCCAGTGAGGAAGGGAGCGTCCGGGAGTCCTGGATGTCCCTGGGCGATGCCCCGGTCCTCGTTAGGGACTTGGGGTACAGCGTGGTTTTTACTCTCCCAGAGGTGTTTCCTGCCCAGAGCTGAGCTGTCTGTTCTGCCACTTCGGAGACAAAGCCGCCCGCATGAAGATCCAGCCGTTCAGGACACAAGACTCTGAAAACAAGGGCCACATGGCTGCCCTTTGAGGTTTCGTCTTGTTTGGTTTTTGCAGCCACACCTTGAGAGCACACCGCAGAGCTGGCCCCTCAGGCAGGACAGAGGCTGGGCCAGGTTCCCATGTCTGGGCCAGGTTCCCAGGGCGGCTGCAGGGCCCGGAGCATCCGGCACCCCCAGCCAGGAGGCGAGGTTGATGGGCCTGCCGAGACCTGCAGAGCCCCTGCCTGGGGCCCAGCCTCGGGGCAGATTCCCCTCGGCACTCGCCCGCTGGGGAGTCTAGTCGAGCATCTGAGATGATCTGTGTGACCTTGCTCAGGAGATCAGACAGACCCGCGTCCCCAAACTCAGCAGAAGGGCCGGGCTAGATGCCGGTGGCTGCTGCAGCATCCTCCCCCATCAAAGATGGCTTCTCTCCTAACTTGCACAGGTTTGCAGAATCCCCTAGGCCTTCCTGCTGGCCTCTTGGACCAAAATGAGAAATGGTTCCCGTTTGCACAGAGACCTGGGGTCCAGAAGGGCTAGAGCTCTGCCCAGGCCTCGGCACCAGGAGAGGGGATAGCGGAAGCAGAGCAGGCCGCGGGAGGCAGAAAGCTCCTGAGAGCGAGGCTAGCAGTTACGGGGAGCAACTCTTTTCTTGTGAATCCTCACCAGAGGATATTTTTTTCCTATTGATTTTTTTAGAAAGAATGAAAGGGAGGGGAAGAAACACAGAGAGAGGCACGTCGACTGTTTGCCTCCCGCACGTGCCCCAACCAGGGCGGGGTTTGAACCTGCAGCCGAGGTACGTGCCCTTGACCGGAATCAACCCACGACCCTTCAGTCTGCAGGCCAATGTTCTAACCACTGAGCCACCGGCTAGGGCTCGGGGAGATGACTTCATATCACATTGAAATGTTTCATTACAGATGGTCTGGGACAGGCTGCCTGTGAGCGGTGATCCCTCCATCCCAAAGGTGTGAAGGGTCGTGCCCACCTGTCCGGGCTCTCATAGAAGTAGTTCCCGCCGTGCTGGCCATTGGGCCCAAGTAACCTTAAGTGACCTCTAGACTCATTTTAAAAAAAATAGTCTTGAGTCTGTCCTCTGGCCAGGAGTGACTGCTGAGGACCTGAGGACACAGCCAGGACCAGCCTGGAGGCAGCCCTGCCCATGGGGCTCGCGTCCCGGGGGAAGAGGCCACCAGGAAACTAGGAAATAAGAGAATTCAAATCAATGGAAAAGGGGGGTGGGAGTGTCCCCAGGCAGAGGAAGCCCCAACCAGAGCCCCGAGGCTGAAGAGCAGGAAGCCCCCCAGCCCACACCCCCAACCGGGGCTCCCCTTCTCCGTGTCAGGTCACGGACTAGCTGCTTAGACCTGCGGTGGGGGCGGGGGAAGGGGAAGTTCAGCCACAAAACAAGTTCTACTCCCACCACCTGCTCAGCATAGAGGGCATTACCTCTGTCTCCGGAACTTTAACCTGAAAGATGAGGAACCTCTTCAACAGGCTCAAGCGGTCAGCAGGTCCCGTACTTTCTCAGGGACCGAAGGTTCGGGTGGCCCACCGTCCCCGTCGGCCCAGAGCCCCCCATCCTGAGAACCTCAGTCCAGGGCAGGGCTGCATGAATGTCCCAAATAAACTGTCCCCACGTTTAGTCACGGAAACTAGTACTCGAGTGTCTGTGTGCTGCTGACACGTCTGCAGTGTGGGCAACTCCGCAGGGACAGTTCGTCTCCGCTCCGTGGTGTGAGCTGAGGCTGAGTCCCCTGGATGACCTGGTCTCAGAGGTCGCCGGGTGTCACTGGGGCCAGACCCTCCGGCTCTCCGTAGGGGGATAGCAACGTTCTGGAAGGGCCCAGGACTGGGAATATATTTGTGGTCATTTTTGGAAAATTGTCACAAAAAGTAAATCAGATTGGCCTGTTCGTGAAGCCACCGGCCACACCTAGATGCCAGGAGAGGCCTGGCAAGCCGTGCCCAGGAAGATGGCCTTTTTCTCCTCCGTGTCCTGTGTTCATGCTCAACATTAAGCTCGGGTCACACCAACCGCTCTGGGTGATGCAGACTTTGACAGGTTTGGCACCAACTCCTGCCACTGCCGGTCTGTGCCGTTGCCCTCAGCTGCCCCTGCCCTTTCTGCCAGTCCAGGGCTGGCATCAGAGGAGGAAGTCCCCAGGTGGCTCCCGTGCCAGGTTCCTGCTCTGTGCTGGTGACCAGCCTGAGCCAAGGCCACAAAGATTCGTTCTCAGGCAGACCAGCCGCACCTAAGACGGTGTGGTCCATATTCTAATCGGATGGCGCTGGGTGGCTCTTTCAGGGGAAGGAGGCGGGCAAAGGTGTCTTAAAAGAGGTTGGTCCTTGAAAATGGTGAGGAAGCTGATGGTCTCAACAGCCGGTGCTTGGGGGGCAGGTCGGGGGAGCCCACAGAAAAGGAGGCTGCAGGGCTCAGCTACGTGCAGCTACATCGTTCAGATTTTAGAATGTGGATGACAAAGAGCCTTAGAAGGGTTGTCAGCGCGTGTGACATGGGCGTTTGTGCATTACTGGTGGCTCCAGTGATGAGCTCCTCTGTGTCATCTGAAATGCAAACGCCACACGGGCAGGTCACCTGGAGCCCACTGCAGCCCCACGAGCTGAGGGTGGCAGGTGCCCCTCTCCCCCCAGGGCAGGGCCTGCTCCAGCCCCACCTCTCAGCTGGTGGTCCTGCTGCCAGACGAGGAGACCAGGAAAAGGGATGGAAGGGGGGGGGGGAGGTGCAAGGTGTCTTTTGAGAGTGAGAGACAAGACACGCGCAAATCCCATGTTGTTAAAATTATCCTTAAAAACCCCCCAAGGCCCTGGAGATGAGTGCGCGTGTCTGTGAGTCTGGCTGGCGGCCTCCCCTGTCCTTGGGGTGAGCACAGGACAAAGTGGTTGGCGTGGCCCAGCCCCTTGTAGGAAAGATGTCCATGGGACCTTCAGACACTAGAACAGCCGTGGGCAAACTACGGCCCGTGGGCCGGATCCGGCCCGTTTGAAATGAGTAAAACTAAAAAAAAAAAAAGACCATACCCTTTTATGTAATGATGTTTACTTTGAATTTATATTAGTTCACACAAACACTCCATCCATGCTTTTGTTCCGGCCCTCCGGTCCAGTTTAAGAACCCATTGTGGCCCTCGAGTCAAAAAGTTTGCCCACCCCTGGGCTAGAAGCAGCCGTGAGAGAGGCAGGCCCTGAGGACAGTTAACCAAGGAACAAGCAAGTCACCTCCTCTCCAGCGAGCATGAAAAGCTACCCTTTCCCTACGGGGCTGTCCCCCTGGACCTTGGGACAAAGGCGGGGCTCCTCCTGCCAAGCACAACTGTTTTGATTAAAAGAACATGCACAGTTTATTCTGTTTTTCTTACGAGGTCTTGTCCTGCAACATGGTAGTTGTCACAATCAATACCATGAGCTCAGTAGTCAACCAGACACGCTGCCCTCACAGCCTCCATAGCTTGATGCCCGTGTCTCCTACGTGTCCAGCAAACAGTATCCGTAATAAATGGCTGAGAAGGGTCCATAGGCGATGGCGAGTGTGAATGTAGAATGCCCGTAGGTGATGGCGAGTGTGAATGTAGAGTGCCCATAGGTGATGGCGAGTGTGAATGTAGAATGTCTGTAGGTGATGGCGAGTGTGAATGTAGAGTGCCCGTAGGTGATGGCGAGTGTGAATGTAGAGTGCCCGTAGGTGATGGCGAGTGTGAATGCAGAGTGCCCGTAGGTGATGGCGAGTGTGAATGTAGAATGTCTGTAGGTGATGGCGAGTGTGAATGTAGAGTGTCCATAGGTGATGGCGAGTGTGAATGTAGAATGTCTGTAGGTGATGGCGAGTGTGAATGTAGAGTGCCCGTAGGTGATGGCGAGTGTGAATGTAGAGTGCCCGTAGGTGATGGCGAGTGTGAATGTAGAATGTCTGTAGGTGATGGCGAGTGTGAATGTAGAGTGCCCGTAGGTGATGGAGAGTGTGAATGCAGAGTGCCCGTAGGTGATGGCGAGTGTGAATGTAGAGTGCCCGTAGGTGATGGCGAGTGTGAATGCAGAGTGCCCGTAGGTGATGGCGAGTGTGAATGCAGAGTGCCCGTAGGTGATGGCGAGTGTGAATGCAGAGTGCCCGTAGGTGATGGCGAGTGTGAATGTAGAGTGCCTGTAGGTGATGGC